CTCTCTAAAGAACTTTTTCCGACACTCCTTTCAAGGCAGGTCTACCCGTAACAAATTCCCTCACTTTTTTCCCCCTCAATTTCTGTTTGTCTGAGAAAGTCTTTATTTCTCCTTTACTTCAGAATCATTTTACAGGGTACAGAATTCTAGATTGGTGTTTTCTCTCTCTCACCATTTAAAATATTTCACTCATTCCTCTTCTTTCTTACTCGGTTTCTGAGGAGAAGTTAGATTTAGTTTTTATCTTTGCTTCTCTATATGTATGGTGCCCCCCGCCCCCCGACTGCCGGCTTCTTCCAGGATTTTCTTTTTATCTTTGATTTTAAAATTTTTTGAAATAACTAGGTGTCATATTTGGGGGCATTTATCCTGCTTGGTTTTCTTTGAGCTTCCTGGCTCTGTGGTTTGGTGTCTGACATTTATTTGGGGGAAATTTTCGGTCATTCTTGATTCAAATACATTTTCTGTTCCTTTTTCTCTTCTCCCTGTGGTATTCCCATTATGCATTTGTTACTCTTTTAGTAGTTGTCCTGGACTTTCTTTTCTGTTCTTTTTTTTTTGACTCTTTTCTGTTTGCTTTTCAGATTGGGAGGTATTTGTTGAGATGCCCTGAAGCTCAGATTCTTCCCTTAGGTGCATCCAGGGTTACCAAGAAACCCATCAAAGGCATTTTTTCATCTCTCTAACAGTGCTTTTTATCTCCAGCATTTATTTTTGAATCCTTCTTAGAATTTCCACTTCTCTGTTTACGCTGCGCGTCTGTTTTCCCACGTAGTCTGCTTTATCCACTACAGCCCTTAGCATGTTAATCACAGTTGTTCCAAATTCCTGGTGTGATAATCCTGACATCCCTGCGTAAGTCTAGCTCTCATGCTTGCTCTTTTGTATGCCTTTGCCCTTTAGTGTGCCTTGCTATTTTTTTTTCTTGAGGACTGGACGTAATGTACCGGGTAAAGGGAGTTGCTGAGCCCTTGGTGATGTGGGGGCAAGGTGTGGGGGCAGCGGCAGTGCGGTATGGTCCTATTATCAGATGTCCTTTCAGCCAGCCCGCATGCTTCCGCACTACAGACCGCAGTGTGCGTCCCAGCGCCGCTCTATGCCGTTGCGCGGCTGGAGTGTGCGGCTGGAGCCGTGCATTTCCCTTCCTCCACGTTGAGAGCTAGAGCTGGCTGGAGTTGGGTGTCTCCCTGCCTCTAGCTCCATTAGGCTGGGGAGCTGGGTAGGCTATGGTTAAAATCTGAGTTTCTTTTGAGGGCAGATCTTGTTAAGAAGAACAGCATGCTCTGGCACTTTGCAAAGTAGTTCCTTTTACCCTGCCTTCCAGGAGCACGAAGGGATTATTCTATCCACAGTGAGAGCCTGCCAGAGCTTCGGGAGGCAAAGTGCATGAAGGTGCTCCAGTCCAGCATGGCGGGGGCCCCTGGAGCTGTTCCCTCTCAAACTTGTCCTCACTGGGAGCCTGTGGCAATTCATCGGAAAATAGTTCGGGTTTCTGTGGCGCTGGTTCCCATGCAAGTTTCTGCCTGTGAGGTTCTGCTGTGTTATTTTGCTCTTTCCAATTTGGGGGGCAGTGCTGCGCGTTGTAACCTGACCTGCCTTACAGATCTACTAGTTGATGACTCTCCTTGGTGTTAGGACGGAGGGAGCATTTCCATGCTCCTTACACGCTGGCATGGAAACTCATCCATTTCATTTTTAATGGAAAAATGACCATTTACAATAGCCAAGATCTGGAAACAGCCCAAGCGTCCATCAGTAGGTGAGTGGATAAAAAAGCTGTGGTATCCTGATACAATGGAATATTACGCAGCTGTAAAGAAGGAACTCTTACTCATTGTGAAAGCATGGATGGACCTGGAAAATATTAAGCTATGTGAAATAAGCCAGTCAGAGAAAGACAAATGTCATATGATCTCACTCATATGTGGAATCTAATGAATAAAATAAACCGATGAACAAAATAGGACCAGAGGCATGGATACATGGAGCAGACTGACAGTTCTCAGAGGGGAGGGGTTGGGGGACTAGAAGAGATTAGCCAAAAAACACATATGCATATATGCATAGCCCATGGGCACAGACAGCCATATGGTGAAGATCTCAGGGTGCAGGGCAGGGAGCTAGGTGGAGGGGGGCAAAGGGGAGGCCTAGAAGACATCTGTAATAGTGTCAACAATTTAAAAAAGGAAAAGCAGAAGCAAAAATGACCGAATGGATGGGTCCTGTGCCTGCTCCCTCATTCTCCTCTAACCTACCCCCCCCCCCTGGAAACACAATGTTTGGAGGTCGGGGTGTCTGCCTTCCTGGCTACACTCTCTCTGGCCTTCTTCCACACCTACTGAAAATTTTATTTTATGTACTTTTTCAAAGATGTAATTGGCTTTGTTGAGCGATTTGTGAATGTGGCAGCATCCCATCTAGCAGCTAGAAGGGGCTCCCCTTATTTTATTTTTAAGAAAATTTTTCATCAGCAGTGAATTATGACCAAACCTGGATTTGCAATATCTAATCTCTATCTAGCACATGGACGAACACTGTTAGTTTCCGTGATGGTTTCATTGGTCGATTCCCCCACTAGGTTGTTGGCCATGATGTGCATGCAGGTGGCCCTGTCCCGGCAACAGGGGTTTCACTCAGAAGTTCCAGGCAGTTGTCCAATCACTGGGAACCCTAGTGAATCGGAGGGGTCGCCTCTGAGGCTGAAGGCTCCTCCCTTCCACGTGCAGAAATTATGCAATGGTGACCTCTAGTGACCAAAGGAATAAACTGCAGTGGCATGCTCCTCCTGGTACAGAGAACTGACCAACACAATCTCTGCTTTCTTCTAAGTACTTCACATTGTTTATGATGACGTTGGTTCTTGGATTTGTTAATACTGACAGCTACAAGGTGGATACCCTCACTCCCACTTTATAGTTCAGGAAAGTGGGGTTCAGAGAAGCGAACTGGTTCCCTGAGTTCTGACAGTGTACGAGGCAGCGCTGAGATGCAAGCCAGGTCCTTCCGAGGTCAAAGTCTCTTCTTTGCCCACCCGTCCCGTCCCCTGCTACTGGGGTCCCAGAGCAGGGCATGGAAAACACTAGGAGCGTTAGCAGCGCAGACCTCGGGTCCCATCCCAGACCCAGAGAATCAGAGTTTGTATGCTGTGCCAATAAAAATTGGGTATACACATTGAAGGAAAAACCCTGACTCCTGGGAAGCAGTAGGGGTAGCCCAGCCTGTGTCCACCTAAGAAGAAAATGAGTTTTCACATTTCTTCTCTAAACATGTATTTCTGGCATTCTAGAAAGCACTTCTGTCATTTTCATATACTCTCCCCTTTCCCCAAGGAGGTAATAAGATCAGGGATCATCCCTCCTGTTTCAGACTTAGGGAAACAAGCCCAGAGAGGTGAAGTGACTTGCCCAGAGCCAGTGGCCAGCAGGCATCACACCACTTGCCATGGATTGGCTGGGAGAGTGACCTTGGGGCTCTGGGATCTGGTGCTGGAGCCAGCATGGGGGAGGCAGGTTCCTGAGCTTGCCTTCTGGGGTCTGAGATCACCAGTCTGGTTCTCAGGGAGCCCTCTGCTCTCACTCCTTTTCCCCTGTGCAGTAAGAGGCCTGTCTGGCTCCAATTTTACTTCCTGCGTGTTTTGGGAGAACTACTTAGCATCTCCTAGCTTTTGCTCCCCTCCTAGAGTTGTCGTGGAGACCAAGTGAGAATGATGCAAGCCAGGTGCCGGCACAAAGTAAGAACTCAACGCATTGTAGTCAATATTCATTCATTTGCTAAGTTCAACAGCTACTGAACATGTGTTTACTGTGTGCTGGGCACTGGGCTAAGATACCTGAGGGGCAAGGAGGACATGACCCTGCTCCCACAGAGCTTAGTCTAATAATGGGGGAGACGGATGTTGATCAAGCGTTTATCAGTGTGGTGAGCAAGAGGTAGGTTTGTCTTCAGTGAGATGGATGAATGTGGCTTTGGCTGTTACTTTGACTTTGGGGTAAGTGTACCCTTTCCTCTTCTCTGTTCACTCAGAGACAGTGCAAAACTGTTGGCTCCCTAGTCAGGTGTGAACCATGCGCCAAAGCCGTCCCACCTCTCTTGCCTTTTGAAGTGTTTCCTCCTTGGAGAGTTGCTACCTCGACCTGGGGGCAGGGGTCTCTGCCCACCTACACTGGAACAGGGAGGGGGAGTGTAGTGGAAGGTGAGCTGGTCGGACTTTACCCTAAGGACTAGAAGGAGCCACTGAAGACCACCCCAGAATGCTCTCCTATAGCCAGGCAGCAACCACGGCCACTTTTCAGTTCTGCAAACCACCATGCACCTCCTACGACAGGGCTTTTGCACGTGCAGTTCCTGTGGCCTGGAAAGGTCTCCCTACCTCTTTTCACGTCATTCCTATTCATCATTTAGGGGCCAGCTCAAATGTTACTTCCTCCAGGAAGTCCTCCCTGACTCCCCAAACTCCAGGCCCAAATAGGACATTCTGTATGTTTCCTTCTTGGCCCGTATCACAACTTGCAAGTGTATACTTGTGTGAGCATTTGCTTAGCATCAGTTGTCCCCAGTAGACTGAGTGTAGAACTGGTGTCTGCTTTGCTGAATGCCTTCTTGCCAGCACTGAGCACAGTGATGGGCTCCACACGCCTCCGAAAAAGTAGGGATGGATGCACAGGAGGCTGAAGCTCCCCGAAGAGTTGAGGTCCGACATGCAGCATGGGGGGGGGGGAGCAGTCTGAGGCCACAGAAGTGCAGGGAAGATGAGGTGAGGGCCGGAGCCGGGGCAGAGACAGGCCGGGGACTGAGGCCGAATCCCCAGTGGGTGGGGAAGGGCCGGTGGGCCATGAAGACAAGAACCACATGGAGGTTTCCAGCTTGGTAAAGAGAACATGGTGGTGCCCATTCCCGAGACAGGGGTTACAGACAAAAAAGCTCGAAGGCCTTGCCCCCTTCCTGCCCAGCATGTCTTCCTCCTGTCAGCAGTGGCCTGGACTCTGTCCCCAGCACGACACAGGCCACACAGCTCAGCAGCACGAGCCCCTTTTTATTTACCATCTTCCTTGGACCATAGACAAGAAACAGTAAAATGCCCTGGCAGGAAGGGTAGGGGGCTCCTGAGTTGGGGCTGAGGCTGAATTCCAGCCCCCTTTCCTGACGGGCTGGGTCTGTGCAACGACTCCCTCACTCCCTCCACCCCCGAAATCCAGCATCAGGAGGCCGGGCAGCCATCCTCGTCGGGACGGTGCTGGCAGGCCCTGGAGAGGTACAGCATACCGAGAGAAAGCAGCAGAGTGGCTCTGGCCCCAGGGCGAGGACGTGAGGAAAGGCAGGCCACCCAGTCTGGGGACTGAGCAAAATCCGGCCTCCAGCCAGCCTCTGCTTCTTACATCTGACTGTCCTGAGGGCTGGGGGACCGGGCTGAGCCCCCCAACCCCTGCCCCAGTACAGAGGTTTTGTAAGAGGGGCCAGGGAAACGCTGCGTGTTCCAGGCAGAGGACGCCTCAGCTGGCGCCTGGTGTGGGCTGGGGTGCCCCATGTGTTCAAAATAAGAATACAGAATAGGAGAACAGTGTCCCTTCTCATCCTCCCTGGGGCACAATCCAGGTGTGACCTCACCACTGTGACTGCCAGGCCACCAAGACGGGGCCTGGGGTATCTGCGGAGCTGAAGAAGTGGACTAGAGGGTTTGGCAGCCCACCCCCCAATACTCAGTGAGCCAGAGATTGAGTGACTTAAAAAAAATGGGCTGCGGGGGAAGGAGCAGACAAGATCCAGAAGGAAAGGGAAACATCCAGGCTGGAGAAACTGCTCTCAGTGTTGCTCAGTCACTGACCAATCAGCTGCCTTGCTTGTTTCTGGGCTGCGGTGCTGGGGTTGGTGGGAGGGCAGAGAGAAGCAATCACTGAGGGAGCAGATGCCAGACAGGCTCACCTTGATCCTGACCAGCCTGGCCTGCACAGGTCTGAAAGGCTCCCAGCCTTCTCCACCACCCGTTTGAACCTCTGTAAAGAGGGGCCCCTGGAATCTGAGAGACTCTGTTCTAGGGGAAGCTGAGGAGGGGTACTCACAGCACCGTGGCATGGGACGGCTCCTGGCCCCTGGCTGAGCCGGGCTGGCACCGTTTGTAAACATAAGACTTGGTGTGTCTGGGGGTGTAGAAGGGGAAGGGTGCCTGGACCCTCAGGTCTGGGGAAAGACCCTGGGTGAGGCCCCAAAGCCTTGGGGAATGTCCAGTGCCCACAGAAAGGGGGCTGTAGGTTCACTGTGGGCCCAGGAGGGAGTGGCCCAGGCACGGACTCTGTCTGTCTCCATGCATCTGTGTGAATCCAGTGCTACCTGCGGACGCTGCCAGACCCCGGAGGAAGCCACTGCTGCCTGCTCTGCTGACGGACTGCAGCAGGCGCTGAGTCCTGGTGGGAAGGAGCACAGGGCCCCCTCGGGATACGCTGCTCCGCGGAGGACCGGGGCCCTCTGCCCACCCTCCTCCAGAGCACAGTCAGGCTGGAGTCTTTCTCCGGAGGCCTGTTGACCGTCTGCGCCTGTGGGTTCCAGGCATGGAGAAGTCCAGAGCCAGGGGCAGGGTTCCTCTGTGACACTGTGCCACCATCCATGGCACTGCCAGGACAGGGGGCAGGAAGGGAGCTGAGTGGAACTGTCCAGAGGCGCGGGCGGTGCCTGACTTCAGCCCAGATCCGCTGCTGGAAAAGGACATCCAGAGGCCACGCCACCAGCAGAGGGCAATGATGCCAGTCAGCTGGTCCTGCAGCTGAAAGAGAGGGGTTCCCGGGCGCAAGGACAAAGGCCACGTGGTCCTTGGGAGGCCATGGTTATGCCAACAGGTCTACAAAGATGGCGTTGGCTGTGGTCTGGCCGAAGATGAAGGCTCCCAGGGTGACCAAGAGGACGCCGTAAGCGACCAGCACCCACCAGCTGTTGGGCAGAGGGAGAGAGAGACCTGGTCAGTCAACCCATCTGTGACTCTGCAGACTCACACACACACACACACACACACACACACACACCCACCACCACACACCAGTTAATTACCATAACCACTTAAACCACTTCTCCTGTGGGCTGAGCACTTCCTACTGCTCAAGGACCTTCCTTTTTTCTATCTATCTATCTATCTATCTATCTATCTATCTATCTATCTATCTATCTATCTATCTATCTATCATCTGTCTATCTACCTATCTATAGGGGAAGGGAGGGAGAAAGAGAGGGGGAGAAACATCAGTGTGTGGCTGCCTCTCACACACCCTGCACTGGGGACCTGGCCTGCAACCCAGGCATGTGCCCTGACTGGGAATCGACCCAGTGACCTGCTGAAGAACTTTTCACACAAAGGTGTATGCTGCCAGGTGTATGACCCCTAATCCACACAAGGGTAAGGCCAAGACCCAACGGGATCGACTGGTCACAGCAAACTGAGGGCGGGACCAGGATCAGATGGCATGTCTCCTGATGGAAAGATGTTTGGGAAAAAAGCAGGTCACGTGCAGTGTGAGCCATCATTAAAAAAATTAAAAACAGACATCTGCAAATGTACTGAAAATGTAAATGTGTGCACCAAAAGTAACAAGGTTATGATGTATGTAAAGTGTATGCAGGTTTGAATCAAGTGTCTGAATCAAAAACAGCAACAGGGTTATAACCAGGTATTGAGATTAAGGGTGATTTGTATTGTCTTCCTTAGACTTATCTGTGTTCTTTTTAGGTTTTCTTTTTTTAAGATTTTACTTATTTATCTTTAGAGGGGAAGGGAAGGAGAGAGGGAGAGAAATATCAATGTATGGTTGCCTCTCGTGCATCCCCTGCTGGGAACTAGCCTGCAACCCAGGCATGTGCCCTGACTGGGAATCAAACTGTGATCCTTTGGTTTGCAGGCCCGCACTCAATCCACTGAGCTACACCAGCCAGGGCCTTTCCTATTTTTTTAAATTTAAATTATTTTATTGTTGTTCAATTACAGTTGTCTTTGTCTGTATTTTCTCCCTTGCCCCTGCCACCCCTCCAAACCCACCTCCCTCCCTTTTTCGGCTTTCTGTGATGAACATTACTTGCGCAGTAATGTTTAAGAAGCACGCAACCTGTTCCCAACCTCTCGATATTCATGACAATGTGCAAATTAAGACAATGTCATGCTTTACGTCCATCCATGTAGGCAGGGATTGAAAAGGTGGTCATGCCCATTGCAGGCAAGGGTGTGGGGAACATGCACTGCTGCTGGGACTCTGGCCTCTGTGGGGGGCAGGCCGAGCCCACGAGCCACAATGAAAATGAGCATGCCTCGTGATGTCACAATTTCCTTCTAAGAATCAACCCTACCAAGATCTTCCAACAGGTGTGCCAAGGTGTGTACATATAAGAGTGTTCACACTCAGGACACATTCACATTCATGCAACAGAATATTCTGCAGCCATTAAAAAAGAAAGGAGTAGGTCTTCCTGGGCTGACATAGAGGTCACTCTATCTTGGAAGTGGTGAGAAAAAAAAAAGAGCAAATGGCAGAAAAATGTGTCTGGCATAAAGACATTAAAGAAAAACCCCAAATGCCACGTGGCTGTGCACACGTAGGCACACATATGCACAGCTCTGAGCACACACACAGGCACACGTGTGCAGGACGGTCCACAAGGGCACAGGCCCTGCTGGTGACGAGCAGCTGGGGACGGAGACGGAGGAGGGTGGCCCCGGGGCTGTGGGGGAGGAGGGACCTCTGCTTCTTTCTCCAAAGTGCTCTAGGAGTGGTCGCATGGTTACAACGAGCACGTTACCCATTTCAGATAGTTTTTAAAACTCACGGTTTTTAAAGTGTGCAAGTCTCCCGACCCCTGTGATTTTAAGGCCCCCCAAGACCGTCTCCTGATTGTGCACCTCCCTGGAGGGAACCAAGGGTGGGGGCCTTGCTTTACCTGGCTGGCTTGACTTCCTCCATCTCAGAGAGTTTCGCTTGAATGAGGCACAGCCCTGGAAGAGAAGAGGCAGCCCGAGAGCTTGGAGGGGCTCCCCACCTCTGGCCCAGCCTCCTCCCTTACCAAGAGACAGTGGTGGTGGATGGAGAAAGGCCCATTTGCTCTTCCAGACATGCCATCTCCGCTCCCCACACCCAGCTGGAGGCCTGGCATCTGCTCTCCCACCAGAGGTTGGCATCTGCCAGGTACAGCATGCAAGACTCAGAGCTAAAGGAACAGCACACCCCGGGCCCTTCCCAGTGCACTGCTGAGCGGACGTGGCCCCCTTGCTCCAAGCCAAGTGGCAAGGGCTTTCAAGGTGGTCTTCCAAATAGAAATAAGCTGGGTACAGGTAGAAGTCATGGCTGAGCAGATGGGAAAATATCCCAGAGGTCTGGTGGAGAACCTGTGACTGACATTCAGGTGTCCCGGCTTCTACATCAGGGAACCAGATCCCACTGCCCCCTGGGGACTGAACCAGCCAGATCCCTGATCGCCACGGAGCAATAGATACTTGAATGGAGGACTAAAGGTACAGGCTGTGGATCCGGACAGACTTGGGGTTGGAAAGGCTATTACTCATTAGCTCAGTTTGTTAACAGCTAGACAAGTATTATACCCCCGAACCTCACATCTCCTTGTCAATAAAATGGAGAGAACATCTTCTTTTCAGATGATGCCCGGACAGGGTTTAGCTCAGAGCCTGTGGTGCATGACAGCAAATGCTGGTGGCTCCTCCCTGGCAGGGGACACGTGAGTGCGGAGCTGAGGCCAGGAGGGCGTCAGTGCTGTGGGGGTGCCGGGGGTCCGCACCTGGGAAGACGAAGATGAAGCAAGCGGCCAGGCCCCCGATGATGGAGATGACCTTGCCGATGTCGGGGATGAAGAGCGCGAGCAGCAGGGTGAGCAGGAACCAGACCAGCGTCTGCAGCACTCGCCGCCGCCGCTCCCGGCCCACGTCCTCCTCCACGGGCACCCCCTGGTAGCGCAGCCAGAGGCCTTCAACCACCGCCCTGCGCCAGCACACGGTGGGCTCAGAGGCACGCCTGCCAACTGCCCTCGCATCTGCTTTCGGGCCCAGATCCCTGACTGTGTAGATGCTGGGTGAGCCTGTCCCCTGCTCTGTAAAGCAGGCAAAGCAGCAATCTGCTCAGGCTGCCTCCATGAGGCGTGGACGAGAGAGTGAATGTGGAGGGCTTAGTGCCCCGCTGGCCCAGGGTGGGATCACCAGTGGGGACTGATTCTATCCTTCTGCTGTAAAGGAAGGGTCTGGGACCCCCAGAAGGTGTTCAGAAGGGGATCTGGACTGCAGGGTCTCGGAGGACTCACAGAATGTTTGGGGACCTCAAGCCGCAGCTGGGGGTGCTGAAAGGGCTGTGCTGGGCACCGACTCTTTCCTATGGGCTGCAGTTCCTCCAATAACAGGGGTTCCATGCAAGGCCAGAGGACTTTCAGGGGCCGAGGGAGGGCCCTACTGGGGTGCGGAGGGGCTCACCGGCCACAGAAGTGCAGGATGGAGTAGGAGGTGAGCACGCTCAGGATGATGAAGGCGCGGGCCACGGCCACAGCCACGTCATTGGAAGGATAGGACAGGAGCACGTCGGGGTCCACAGAGGCTCCGAAGGTCAGGAAACCACAGACACCTGAGGGTGGGGAGAAAGGGCTGGGCGAGGGCCACCCTGGGAGGGGAAGGGGAAGGACCGTCCACAATGACCCCTCCCCCAGGGACCAGCACAGCAACCTGTCATTTCCTTCGCAGCCCGTCTCTCTGAATTCTCTTTTTAAAACTTGTCTATCATCTGTTTCTCCAACCAGAACACGAGCCCCAGGAGAGCGGGGACTCGTCTCTAGTTGCCTCTCCTGCTCCTGCCTGTGACTTCAGAGGGAGAAGGGGGCTGGCCCCGAACCGCTGGTGAACGGCTAAGCTGGGCCGCTCTCTGGGACTCCAAGTCTGGGTCCCCTGTCCCAGCCAGACCCACACGGACCCACAGCCAACTTTCACTGGCACTCATTCTGAGGGTGCTTGCGCTCCGGCCCCAGGAGCCCTCAAGGCCCAGCAGGACCTGGCCCTGTCACCCGCCCCAGCCACAGAGGCCTCTCTCCTGCCCCCGCCTCAGGCACCGGGTGTTTCCGGTTCCTCTGCCTGGAGTGTTCTTCCTCCAGCTCTGCAGATCCTGACTCCTTCCCATTACCAGGGCCTCCCCCAATGCGACCCCCTTGGGGAGAAGCCTTCTGTGAACCATCCCCAATGTCACCCCCCCAAACAGTCTCACTCACATCTTCCCGGTCTCACAGTCACTGTGGCCCCCACTACTGAGTCCTCCCTGACTCCCAAGTTTCTCTTGAACCACCACCTTTCTCCCTAGACTATCAGGTCCAGGAGGGCAGGGCCAGGCCCCCCCCCACCCACCTCCAGGGCCCCTTGCTGAGAACAGCCTCAGAGAGCTGCTGAGCCAGTGGATGATCATACGGGGCGGGCGGGCGGCGGGGTGGAGGGGGAGCCCAGGGTCGCCCAAGTTCAAGCCAATGCAGACAGAAGGGTATGGCATGCTGAGAGTGCAGGGCGGTCCCCAGGAAAGCTGGGCCAGAGGGCCTGGGAACAAAGAGGAGAAGCGGGAGCGCCCCGAGCCCGGCCGCAGAGGGAGCGCTCACCTGTGCCCGTGTACACAGCGAGGGCGATGGCCATGGCGGCCGTCACCACCCCGCCCCACGTCTTCAGCTCGGGCTGCCGCATGCTGTTGAAGATGGGCACACTGCTCACGTGGCACTGTCAGGGCGCAGGGCACCGTTACCGTGGCGGCGTGGCCTCGCCCCCGTTTCCAGAGAGAGGTCTCTTGGGGACAAAGGCCATAGGGACAAAAGGCAAGTCCTGGGGTCCCCACTGCGTCCTTCCTCCCAAGACCCCCATTATGCCTGTAATGTGGGCTCCATCCCAGGGTGGGGAGTTGAGCTAAGGGGACAACAGGGACCTGGCAACTGGCACCTGGAATCCAAAGCAGATGGTGGGCATGGCATTGAACACGGCCATCCAGGAAGCTGGCCTATGGGTAAGGACAGGAGAGTCTGCTACCTGGGGGCCCCACACAGCCACCCACCACCCCCACGCGCTTGCTCCTCATTCAGCCCACCACGGCCTCCACCAACGAGCACTCTGCACATTCAACCCACAGCCGCCTGGGAATGGGGAGAGGCCACGCCTCCACTTCACAGGCCTGTGAACTGGGGCTCTGGGAGGCCCTCCCGGGACCCAAATCCAGAATGTCTGGCTCCTACCCTGGGGCTTTTGCTGTTTTAGTTTGCTCCTATCAAAAAAAGGAAACCTTTAAAATGACAAAACAGGGTCATCCTCATGTGGAAGACACAAAAATTATAATGATTACAAGCTGGAAAAGTGTGCACCGGCAGCCTGTGGCCCGGTCTCCTGCTGGCTCAGCGGTTGGATGTTAGTGGTGAAGCCTCCCCACCCATGGTTCCCACTCTTCCCTTCAGTGAGAAGAGGCCGGGACCTCCTGCCTCCTCCCTGCAGTGACCAGTGAGTCAAGCCCTGCTGAGCTAAACAGCCTTGAGAGGAGCAGCTGGGTGGCCTTTGGATGTTTGACCGGGAACCTTCTGGGGCCCAGGTAGCAGATTCTCCAACTGGTGTTTCCCTGGAGCCCTCACCCACCTGGTCAGGATGTCCCCTGGGGTCATCTCTTTATCTGGCCAGATGTATTTGATGATGACGATGGCAGTGACATACCAGGTGCCCACGACGCTCAGGAAGCTGCCGGGAGGAGTGAACTGAACTTCCCCCTCCCAGCCCCAGCTGCCCTTTCTCTGATTCCACCCCAGGGGCATCTACCCTCAGCTCTGGTGACAAGTGTCTACTGAACAAATCGGGAGACTGTTTTGAGCAAAGACTCAAGAAATGCATGAGAAGTAAGTTTTGGAGAAACCAGCCAAGGCTAGGAGGGAGCTGGATGCCAACAGGGGCCAGACTGACATTTGTGACCACTGGGAAGTGCGCTGGCTCAGCTCCATGGCCTGCAGGCCTGGGCTTCAGAGCACGTCTCCCACTTCAGTCCGAGGGGCCCCCACTTGGCCAGGGCTGCAAGCAGGTCTGTAAGCCCGTCTCTCCAACTAGGAGATGCCAGAGGTAAAAGGGTTGAAGGTACAAATACTGGAATGTTAACATCACAGGGGACCTTGGAGACAGCTGAGTGCGACCTTGTCAGTTAGGGATGATGGGAAAGTTTTGCAGACCCTGAGCCAGGAAGCCAGTCCCCTCCTGTCATAACAAGCTGCGTGGAAGATGCTGCCAGGCCGACCACCCCAACTGATCAAAACCCCCATCCTCTCTGGGCAAGCCAAGGCCCAGGCCGGGTGGCTGCCTTCACACTCCACACGCCCGACTGTCACCTGTCCTTTCTGTGACAAGGACATTGGAACTGACTATGCCACGGATGCGTAGGGCCACTGTTTCCCTTGCTGCTGACAGAAAAGGAGGTCTCATGTTGCAAGCCCTGCCTTGCCCTCCTGTGCCGCCCCAGAGAGCGTGGTGGCATGGGGGACAGGGCACCCCAGCAGCCCTTGGGTCTCCAGCTTCCTGCAATCAGAGCCCCTGTCTTGCTCAGGTTGGGGAGGGGCCTCCGAACCTGGCATATTTCTGGAAGCCAATCTCCCTGGGGATGGAAAGGGGCAGGATGAAGAGGAAGGCAGTGAGGCTGATGGTGAACTTGCGGTCCGTGTACCAGGGGCTGCTGTCGGCCCCCTCAGGCTCCTTTGCCAGCACAGCTATGACTGTAGAGGGAGGAAGGAGGGGGTGTCATGCCAGGTCGCTATAGGGCAAGGTCCTTGGCTCTGCTGGGCCTCAGGGCCTTCATCTGCCTCAGGGGCCCAGCAGCCAGGAGGGAGGGCTCCCAGGGGAATGCCAGGCCCAGGCCAGGCCTTGGGCAGGTGTGCCTCGCCCTTTTCCTCCACCCCCAAGATCCCTAGGGGCCCAGGGGGAGAGGGGAGGTAGCTACTGAGAGAACCTCACTTTTGTCCTGCTGGTCCCCAATGATGATGAGAAAGGTGATGCAGGTGCCGAAGGTATAGACGGCAATGGACACCTCACACAGCACGCCCGTCACCTTGCCACACACAGCCCACACCACCTCCTGGTAGGTCCGCTCGTTGCTGGCCTGGGAGCAGTAGGCCAGGATGACGAGGCCACTGATGATGAAAACCAGCATGCCCTGCGGGCGGGGGCGGGGCGAGAGGGTGTGGGAAAGGCCTGGCAGCAAAGGGCAGCCGGGCCCTGCTCAGCATTTACCGGGCCAGTGATCAAAGCTGGGGTGGAAAATAAGCCTCCTCTTGTCGGGCAATTTTAATGGATTACTGGAGGCTGCCGCCTTAAGATTTTCTGTAGAAACAAAAGCAGCTCTGTGGAACGTTTCAAACACACACCAAAGTAGACAGAAGGATATCAGGGCCCCCCATGTCCTCATTGCTCAGCTTCAAAAATGATCAATTTGTGGCCAATCTGGTTTCATCTGTTCCTTTTCCCACTCTGGATTATTTTGAAGAAAAAAAACCAAGTTCCCCTATCATTTCATCAGCATTTCACGTAGTTCTAAAAGATAAGGGGCTACTTCTTAAACATAACCAGGAGACTATATGCAATTGATGTCAACTTCCCTGATTGCCTGGGAAGGCTTTTGAAGCCTCACTTGGGCTCAGAGGAATGAATGAGGGAATAGATCAGTATGTCTGCCCTGTGAGGGTGGGGAGAGGAGCAGCTCTGAGCATCCCCGATCCAAAGCCTTCCCTTAGGGGCCAAGAGGCCAGATCCATCGGCTGAACTGCATCTCTGCCCCCTGGGCCTGCACACTCACCATCTGCAGGGTGATGCCAGCTGCCACGCCCCCGGCAGTGCTGAAGGCTGCTGGGAAGTTGAGCAATCCTGCACCCAGGCAGGCATTGACGACAATGAAGATGGCCCCGAATGTGGATGTGGCACCTCTGCTCAGACTTTCAGGAGAGGCCTCCGCCTCACCCGTAGGGTCCGAGTCCACACAGGGACTCTGCAGCAGGCGGGCCCGCTCCCCAGCATCCGTGCTGAAGCCCCACTCGCCAAGGTCACTGTTGATGCTGACCTGGGCCATGGCCCTGAGAGCCCTCTTTCTGCAGGGCCTGCAGAGTCTCCCTCACGACCACATCGTCTGTTCAGAGCTGTTCTCCTAGGAGGCTTGTGGGTGCTGGTTTGTCTCAGCCTAGACAGGAAAGGCAGGTATTATTGTTACCCCCAGGCAGGCACGGAGAGGCGAAAGAACTTTCCCAAGAGCAGATGGCCAGGATTCAAGCCCATGTGCACCTCTGTGCAGAGCACTGCATTGGGTGCCACAGTGGGGGTGGCAGAGACAGAAATAGGTCCGGGGCAAGTCCTGCTAGAGAGAGGCCATGTATGGGGCAGGAGTAGCATGGGCATATCTCATTCCATCCTTATGACAGTGGCCATCAAGTTTGGAAGAGACTGAGTTGATGACCCAGGGTTACACATTAGCAAGTTGCAGAGCAGGATTTGGATACAGATCCGTCTGCCTTCCCAGCCTGTTTCCACACCACAGGGTCCAAGAGCAGCCCTCACTTAGAACCAAGGGCATTTCAATGTATTATAGCCCAGTGCACCTCCCTCCAGCCTAGAGTCTAAGTTCTGCACAGCTTTCAAAGTCCCCAGGCCGCAGTCGGTGGCCTGTTAGACACTGGGCCCCAGAGCAGGAGGTGAGCAGGAGGTGAGCTTTGCTCACGTTACCGCCTGAACTCCACCTCCTTTTCTCCTCCCTGACCCCTGCCCGTCCTTGGAAAAACTGTCTTCCATGAAACTGGTCCCTGGTGCCAAAAAAGGTTGGGGACCGCTGAACTACAGAGTCATCCTCTCTGATGCCTTCAACACCCTGAGGGTTCAGAATGACAAAGGAGGACCTCTGGGTAGTCAGACGCTTCTCCTTGCTCCTCCTGACAAAGGTCTTACAAAAGCGGGGAAGGGTGCACACGAGTGGGGGAAAAGGAGTGTTCCGATGCTCTGAGGCAATGGTCACCACACATGCAACCAAGGGACCAGCTCAGGAGGCCATCTCTCTGTGGGCTGCAACTCCAGACACATCAGCCAGGAGCCACAGGGTTTCCTCTTATGCAACGGCCACCCTGCAGGAAGTCAGCCAGAAAATCAAAGCAGTGAGGAGCGGAGGAAGAGTCGTGAGCTCTCAGGCTTCCAGCACTGCTCCAGAGAGAGCCCTACAAAGTTCTCGCTCCCAGAGCAGTGAGACCTCCTCCTTAGCACCCTGCTTGCATCTCAGACATAGAACTGTACGAGCTCTGGGCTTCCCCTCCCACCACATTACTCGGCTCCATTGTCCCCAGCTTACCTGCTCGTCCACCAGACCCGCTATGGTGGAGGATCTCTGCAAAGATGTGGGATCTGATTCTCTTCACTTCTCTCTCTGGTCTCAAGTTCCTTTTTCTTTCCTTCTTTTTTTTTTTTTCTTCCTTCAAGGCTTTACTTAAAATGTGCTGTCAGCAGAGTGAAGAGTTTGAGCTGTTTCTGCACTGGCCAGCAAAGTTAAGGGAACTGAGCTGTGCTGCCTCTAAGTCACAGAAGGGAGCACCAGATCAGTTAGGTGAACAGACCCAGGGAGGGAAAGACGCTAGACTAACGCACAGTAGGTGGTTGGCAGAGCCAGAACTAGAAGCCTGCTGCCTGCGTGCTCAGGTCAGAGCTGTAATCACTGCAGTAGGCCCCTCAGATCCCAACTGGAGCCCGCTCCCACTCCAGCCTGGGGCTAGATCCCAGAAATATGAGGGGTGGGCCATATTGGGATGTGGACCAGGGTGCACCGGCGCACAGGCGACGACCCCCAGGCCTGTAGTGAGAAGAGTGGGCTGCTTTGGGGTAAACTGGGGAAGGGCTCCGCAAATCGATCCGGGCCTAGGACAGGGTGGAGACCGGGCAGAGACCGACCAACCGACGCCAGGCGTGCGACCAAGAACGCCGGGCTTCGGAGCCCCCTGCAGGGGGCGGGCAGGGCTCTGTTGCGGTCGGGGATCTGGGTACCCGGGGTCCTAGAGTTTCCACCCTCCACCGCTTCAACCTCCTGCCACCTACCCACGGGGTGTCCCAGCCGGCTGCGAAGACACGTGAACAGAGGTCACCTGATCACTGGGTCTAGCGAGGGCCGCGGGGCATGCTGGGAGTTGTAGTTTCGAAGTCAGTATCCCACGGGTTGTATGTACTAGTTTGTGTAAGTGAACACGTGTTGAAGGACATCTGAGTTGTTTGCAGGTTTAAAAAGCACACTAGCTTTTTAAAACTTTATGCATTTAATCATAAAGTTGATACTTTAAAAGTGGTGTGGATATCCACATTTTATTTATGCATCAGTTGATTGGACACTTGGGTTGGTTCCCCTTTTTGGCCATTGTGAATAATGCCAGTATGAACATTCACGTACAGGTTTTTGTGTGGATGGGTGTTTCCATTCATCTTGGGTATTTATACATGTAGAAGTGGAATAGCTGGGTCAAATGGTAACCCTATGTCTAACTGGTTGAGAATGGCTGGACTGTTTTCCAGCACATCTCCACCACTGTACATTGCTATCAACACTGAATGAAAGTTCCAATTTCTCCACATCCTTGCTAACCCTTGTTATTCATTGTCTTTTTAATTACAGCTGCCCTCGTGGGTGTGAAGGGATTCTGATTGTGGTTTTGGTTTGCATTTCCCTGACGACTAATGATGTAAGCATCTTTTCATGGGCTTATTGCCCATCTGTGTGTCTCCTCTGGAGAAATGTCTATTCAGATACTTTTTCCAGTTATTAATTGGTTTATATTTCTTTTTATTCTTTAAGTATATTCTTTATATATTCTGGATACAAATCCCACATCGTGTATATGACTTATAATATTCTTAAGATTTTTTTTCTATTGACAAGAGAGTGAGTGAGAGAGGAACATCGATTTGTTCCCCTTATTTATGCACTCACTCTTTGATTCTTGTTATATGCCCTGACCAGGGATTCAACCCGCAACCTTGGTGTATTGGGATGGCAGTCTAAGCAACTGAACTACCCAGCCAGTACTTCTCAAGATTTTTATAAGATTATCATTGTAAAAAAGTTACTTTCATTTATTAGATATAAATCCACAATTCTTATGAAAAAAATTTCACTGTGCATAAAGAAAAAAGTAAATAAAAACCTCTCAAGCTGGTTGAGCAGGCTGGACTTCGGTCATTTAGACAGATACAAGCCTGAAGCAATGCAGTCTAATAGTACCCAATAGCCAGTCAATGGGTCAGCTGTTATCTGAACTGCCCAGAACTTTTTAGTGCTAAAAAAAATAAAAGACTCCCAAGTCTTATCTCAGACATACTGAGTCAGAATGTCCAGAGGTAAGGCCAGGGAACCAGTATTAAAAAAAAAATTGATTTGGGAACTTTTCTACCTTAAATTACAATAACACAAAGAAAGGCATGCCTATTCTTTCTGAGCAGGCAAACTACCTCTTCCATCATGTGGATGAACATTAATGTCTTCGACCTGGACTAGAAAACTGGGAAAGGGTTGAAGGTCAACAGCTTGAACTGCTGAGAAAAACACACGCCACATGACACTGTTTGGTGAGGAAAGGGACTTAGTCCACTGAGAGCTGGCCACGCGTGTGTTTAAAAATAACGAGGTCAGCAGGGTGGTCATGTTCCTTGCCTCGCGGTCTTGGCAGCCAACTTGCTATTTGGTTCCAGACAGGGAAACTTAAAGCAGTTTCTCCGAACCTAGGTGGTCAGTTCCTTTACGGAGCAGCTGAACGTTTCTTGTTTTCCCTCTTAAAATACTTTTCCAAAGATGTCTAGCCATAGGCCATTCCAGATAAACTCACTCACTTATCCATCTACCATCTTGGTGTATCTATTCTCAACAGGGACACAGAATGGTCAGGGTCAGGAGCAAGCCTGCTTTGCACCGTGCCTTCTGGGGGATGAGCAGGAGCAAGGGGAAGAGAGCAAGTTGAGGCTGCTGCCACCTCCAACCACCCAAACACCATGGATATGCTCTTGGCCTGACTCTTGCTTCGCTGGCTGTTTGGTCAATGCTTGTTCTTTTGTGAATGGCTCCTAGCAGAAAGCAGAAGGGGACTGAACAACTTTGATGCCACGCAGGTGCCATTGCTAGATGTCTGCTGATAGAGCTTATGACTTCATGGTAAAAGTCACAGACTGGCAACCTGTTTGCACCTTACTTGTAAATTAAAAAACCAGAATTAGTCGTCAACTTTGAAGTATTAATAGACCTCCTATAAAAATCGGGATTTGTTTTATTTGAAAAATAAGACCTGAAATCCTAGACTTTATCCTCACGGTGCTTGTCATTTGCCTGTTACTCATCACTGAGGACGAGGGTTGGTCACATGGGATCACCTCATGTGCAGGTTGCGTGACTGCTATAACTTTATATTCACTGTCCGTATTCCCTGCTGCCTCCCCCACAGCTCCCTGGCTCCCCCGCCCACGTCCACAAGAGCCTTCCAGGCACTCCACTTGCCCGTCCAGGGTCCACATTTCCAGCATCTGTGGATTGGACAAGCCGAGTGGTGAGACGATGGCAAAATACGTGGCTTCGGCTTATGTTTGGAACGGCTAAACACATCTGCAGGTTTATGGTCAGCTGGATATGACCTTGGATTTCTGGGAGATATATCCACTCCTACCCTCTCCTCCCATTACAGAAAGAGGACAGCAGAGCAGACGGAGGTTGGGTCTACGGTAACTTTATTGTAACAAGAGAAACCAGCCTGCAGTAAGTCTACACGATCGGAGCAGATGGTGGTTATCTTCCCCAGGGGTGCAGCCGGAGCCCAGCTGGAAGCACGCGGAGGTCAGAACCAAAGCCCTGAATGTCCTCCGCTGGTTCCACCTGCCTGGCCCGGCTCACGACAGCAACGACAGAGGTGTGAGGTCCGACTGGGCAGAGGTGACATCCGGCAGCAGACGATCACTGAAGAGGATGCTGAAATGGTCTGTTTACCATCCTCTGCTGTTCTTTGTTGAGCAAGGTGAGGGGATGGGGTGAGCAGTAAATTACGGTCTTCATTCTTCAAATGAGCCAGAGCTACAGGATGGGCCTGGTGGTCAATCAAGCAACAGAACAGGATGAAAGACCCTGTGCCTACGAAGAAGACCAGCAGTGATCAGAGAGGGGAACATTCAAGTGCCTGTGAGTACCTACAAGGAGAGCCTTCTTCCTTTTTTTTCCTTAAATAAGACAGGAAACAGCATCTTTTAATTTTCCTGCTGCAGTGGCAGCCGACTCACGGGTTTTGACAACATGTGATTTCTGTGACGTGGTGTGTTGGTCAGGCTGCTCTGTCCCGGGAAGACAAACACGGAGCCACTATTGTTTGGACTAGTTCTTCTCATAAAGCCTCCAGTAAGTGGCATTTTCATGCTGAATCAATACCATATGTTGCTTCAGTTAAAGCTTCGGAAATGTTGCAATGGTCTGATTGATGGTTTTTTTGGCTACAACTTTCTTGTACATGTAAACTCTCTCGGAAAAGCTGGAGGTATAAAGATCGGGGAGAGTTTGGTTTAGAGCCACAAAGTCCCAGGCACCAGCCACAGATGCCTCTGCCCATTTCCCTACATGTTCTTTTCTGAGAAACGCATTCAAGCACTGAGTTTTCAGTACCGTGGTTGAAAGAAATGATCCGCTCACCACCATCCACCCTCCCTCTTCCTCTGTGGGAATCTCCCAACAGCAGAGGTTGCCGGGAAGGTCGTCTCTGTTTCCTCTTGTCAGGGAAATTACTTGGTGACCTGGTGAATGGCATGGGCAAGGTAGCCCACGTTGCCCGAGGTGACCCCTGCCACCGAGATGCGGCCGTCCTTCGTCATGTAGATGGAGAACTCCTTGGTCAGCCGCTCCACCTGCAGAGAGAAGAGTGCTTGGGTGCGCCCCACTCCCGGGGGGGGGTCCCCAGCCTGACGTGGCACGACAGCCCCATGCTAAGACTGTAAAATAACAGAGGCTCTATCTTCTCACTTGAATCCCATTCCCAGAATTTGGCATGCAAACTTAAAGAGGGAAAGAAGAAAAAAAGCTGTTTTAAGAGTAGGGTGATGAAGAGTAGGGTGATGATGAATTCTGAGGGGGAAACAGGTAAAAAAAAAAAAAATCTAAGACTCAGCATTTGTAGCAAAAACAGATCCAGGATCCGGCTGTAGATGGGCTGTTTCTTTTACTAACGGCCGTCTCTGCAGGGAGCAGCAGCGGCCACAGAATCGGTCAAAACAAACTCTGCTCTTTGGAAGTTTGTAACACAGATGGGCAACGGGCTAACAAAGGGTAAAACAGAATGGGTGCTCCATACTTCCACCACCTAGAAGGCCTCCAGAAGGACTGTTTTTAGGGAAATCCTGACTCGGCAGGTGCCCTAGCGGGGATTCGGGTCTGCAAGGGCTGATTCATCGGGTCCGCTCACCTGTTCGGGCTTTAGTCCTGTGAAACAGAACATGCCGATCTGGTCGGTGATGTGCTGCCAGTTGTGGGAGGAGCCCTCCTTCTTGAGGTTGGAGACCAGCTGAGTCCGCATGCCGATGATGCGGTCGGCCATGCCTTTCACTTCCTGCAGCCTGTAAAGAGCCCGGGATGTAGCTCAGTTCTGACCACGCCCCGACTGACAGGCCACAGACCAATGCATTTTTACCTCCCTGAGGTATGGCCCCCGTGGGCCCCAGTGTGTCCCCGAGTGAAGTGCCGGGCCAGGAAGAAAACTACTTGATAGTGTTTTGCTTCATACCAGAACACTATTTTGATTAGGCAACTAGACTAGTTAACATGACTTCAGTTACTAAAATGAATGAATGAATGAATCACACTAAATCCCTGGGAGGGCTAAGGCTCTGCACCTTTTTATGTGGGGAACAGAAGCTATGAATCCAACAGGAAACTATGGCTTCTTGTTGCCATGCATGGAACCAACATTCCTGCACGCACCATGGAGATGAGGCGTGGGGGACCTACGGTGTGCCGAGCTCTGCGCCGGTGCTGATGAGAGGGAGGGCTGAGACGTGGCCTTTGCCTGCGGGAGCTGCAGTGGAGGCTGGACGCACACCCGTCAACCAGCAACCTCAGGACAGGGCAGGAGAAAGCAAGAACCCCTGGGACAGCGCTGCGCTGGGACAGCCCAGAGGAGGGAGGGCTGATTTTCTCTGGGGGTCTGGAGAGGGCAGCCCTTTGACTGGACATGGCTGGCTTGATTCTGGAAACATCTTTCCCTTCTTCAGAATCCACCCTTTCCATGCAGTTCCTATGGTTCTACGAGCAATTCCTGTCGGCCCTCACCAACTAGAGGATGGTAAAAACGGTTACAGGCAGCCGCCCTGTTCTGACATGTCCACTTTCCAAACCATCTCTCTACGATGACGTCATGCACAGTTAGGACAGAGGTTACAAATGGCTAATTGAAGGTCAAATTAGAGTCTTCATCATGTTTCATCTGATGCAGTTAAACCTTTAAAACTGGGTACTTGTACATAAAAATGGGGCTTTGTGGTCTTAACAGACGGCACCAGCAGTGTGATTACTGGCTGAGCTGGAGCCCCTGGTCCCCAGGAACGACATTTGAGTTTAAATTTCCTGCAGTCCCACCCACCAGCTCTGCATTCCCTTTGAGGCCTGGGTCCTAAAGGCGCTGCATGTATGACCACAGCTCGCCCGGGCCGACCCCAGCAAACCCCCTCCTGGCTCCTGTCATGAGGTTCTGGCTTCTCACAGCACCAACCAGGGCACTTCGCCATCTCCTCCCCCCAGCCCCTGGCTTTGCTGCCTTCTGCACCCTCCTCTCACTGTCTTTGCCACAGAAACCACCCAGGACTCGGGCACACCCTGCCTGCTGCATGGCCATGCCTTTCCTTACTGCACATTGCTGTGTCCAGTTTTTCTTTTCTCCTTCATTTCCGTTGGGGAGAAAAGACCTCTCCCCAAAAAAGCACAGCTCAGACGCTGCCGTCTTTGTGACGGCCTCCCTAGCTCCCCACTGGACTCTGTGGCTCTTCCTTGAGTCGGCGCATATTCCATTCCGTCTCATGTCAGTGCCTACGTGGGTCTTTCTCACTAGGTTACAACCCCCTGTGGGGAGGGACCTCTTAGTCACCTAGCACAGCACCCTCGTTACCTTTGCACACCACAGACTTCGAATGCGTACTCAAATACACACATTAAGAAAACAGAAGCTTGATGACTGTCTGGGAATATGGAAATACTAACAAAACAAGACAAAACAAAACAAAACAAAAAACAAAACAAAACAACTTAAACTATGAAGCAAAAAAGAAAGAAAGCTTAGCACAATTCTAAGTGACAAAAACGAAACCAACCCTGCACATACATATACAGCAGTGTGGTACATGGCACGTTACAGCTGCGGATGATAATAGGCAAGAAAAAGAGACCTGAGTTACAGTGACTGGAGCGGTGGTTGACTTTCCCCTCTCCCAAACTTTCTGTAATGTATTTCACATTCATTTTATAAGGGGGAAAATGCTGTAATTTAAAAACACAGCCCTGGCTGGTGTAGCTCAGTGGACTGAGTGTGGGCTGTGAACCGAAGGGTAGCCAGTTGGATTCCCAGTCAGGGCACATGCCTGGATAGTGGGCCAGGTCCCCAGTAGGGGGCGTGTGAGAGGCAACCACACATTGATATTTCTCTCCTCTTCTCCTCTCTCTAAAAATAAATAAAATCTTAAAAAAAAAATTAAAAGTACAGTACTTGATTTTTTGGTCAGCCTAGCCTAGGGGTACTGTACAGAAAAGAGCTATCTTGAATGAGCCTCTGACTGTTTACTTCGATGCTCACAGGATTATTTTCAGGTAGAAAAAGCACTGTCACGTGATGGCCACGTGAGCCGCAGGTGAAGCTTCCTGCAGACAGCAGACTGCAGACTCAGCTTTCCTACCCAGGAGGCTCAGAGACCCACCCCCTTAGCCGACCAGCTACCCAGGATGAGTTCCTGCATAACACCCCACACCCACAGGCGGCGTGGCTTTTTATTAACTCCACATTATGGAGCACAGGGGCTGGCACATTTTTTCAAGGGCCCCAATTACAAACATGTCAGGCTTTGTGGGCCGCACGTTCTCCTCCTCAACCGCCGAGCTTGGCTGTCACAGCCCAGAAGCAGCCATATACAATTAATTCACCGGGACATAAACGTGGCTAGGTGCCACGGAAACATTAGTCAGAAAAATGGCGCAGACCAGATTCGACCTGCAGAACAGTGCACCGCCCCCGGCCCCCCGAGCGATGTTTTTAAAAGTGACCATGACCTGCCAGCAGGCACCACATTCAAGCAGTTGGATGCGACTGGTATTCAGAAAGCACTGGCATACAGCACACGCCTAGCATTGCGTTCTAGGCGTGTTTCAGCCATGCACGCATGCACTGTGCGCTCCGGATCACCATGTAAAACACGCGATACATGGCTTGTGGTTAAAAGGACCGAGTGACACTAACGTAGCACTCAGGTGTCAAGAGATTCAGATGGCACTGAAGTAAAAACCAAAAGATGCAGAAATACCAATGCAATGCTAACTATTATTAAAATAAAAACAGAAAATATGATGTTCTAAAGACAGTGTTCCTACATAAGGTGCTTCAATGAAAACTTAAAACTTAGGAGAAGGCAGGTTTCATTTAACCTGGAAACGATGGAATTAAAAAAACTACCGTCTCTGAACTATGTGTCTTATCGGGAAAGACCGATGGACTGATTTGAAAGGGCTCACAAAATGTTCTCTCCTCTCTCCCTGCTTGGGGAAGGTGGAAGGCCGGGGGGTGGGGGGCGGGCGCCGGGACTTTACCATTGTTTCCGCAGATCGGGGCTCGTCAGAATGGTGGATGCGATCCGGGCCCCATTGATGGGAGGGTTGGAATACATGGGACGAATCAGGATCTTCAGCTGCGACTCCACCCTCTTGGCTTCATCAGCATCTTTGCAGATCACACTGAAGGCTCCCACGCGCTCCCCTGAAAAGGCAGAACGGCCCGTCTTCTAGTTCTGTCTACCGTGCTACAGCAAACTGTTAGATTTGTTGCCCATCAGCTGTCTCCACCAGAAACACCACAAAGATAACTCTTGGTTATAAAGTTTTTGACAACAGGGACGGATAATCTGGGCACAACAGAGAGTCTGAGTACTCAAGAGTGTTTGGAGGTCTTTTTTCTTATTGTATCCATCTTTTTGGCTCATATAAAGCGGTCACTTGTTTAGAGAAGCAGTAATCAGCTTTTTCTGCGGGAGGGATTCAGGGACACTAAAGAAGCTAAAGATTGGTCCGGTCCATTCTACCTGTCTTTCCTCTCTGGGTAAAGACGGACACAGAAACACACGCACGCACGCACCCGAACTCCTGCGCACACGCACCTGCGTGGCGCCCCCTCCCAGCACCCCCTCGACCTCATCAGAATACGCACTGCACCGGGCCCTTTACTTTACCGTATAAGCCCATGTTCTTGGCATAGGACTGGCAGAGGCACACGTTGATGCCCTGTTCGATGAAGTGGCGGACAGCCCAGGCATCCTTGTCGCCGTCACCACTGGCAAAGCCTTGGTAGGCCATGTCGAAGAACGCGTAGAGGTTGTTTTTCTGGGGAGGAAAGGAGAAGATCGACGCTTCAGGCAGCCCCCCCCAAGATGCCCCGATGGCCGCCTGTGCTTACTGGGACCGGGCCTGCTTCACGCAAACCGAGTCCACAGTTTTCTCCGCAGAGGGCAGTCTGGTCATGCTGAAGCCTCCCAAGAGTTGAGATACTAACATATTTCCTTTTTTTTTTAACTCTGGCTGGTATGGTCCCTCAAGAAGACATTCCGACATGGCTCAGTTGGTTGGAGAGCTGTCCTGTCAGCCAAAAGATCATGGGTTCAACTCTCGGCCAGGGCACGTGCCTGGATTGAGGGTCTGGTTCCCATTCAGTGTGTGTGCAGGAGGTGACTGACTGGTGTTTCTCTCTCGCACCGAGGTTTCTCTCCCTCCCTTCCCCTCTCTCTAAAATTAATAAGCATTTTCTCAGGTGAGGATTGAAAACAAGAAGACATTAAGAGGAGAATCTTAACCTCAACCTTCCGGAAAGCTCCTGGGTCACGCAGGGAGCTCTCCTCAGGCCCGTGGTGGTGCAGTGGCCTGGGCAGTTACGTGGGTCTAGTTAACACAGGCCCTGCACCACTCCTGTGTCACAGTAATAACGACCCTCCTGTGCCCCACTCCTTCTCTGGGGCTAGTCTTCCACTCAGGGCCACTTCTCTGGCTGAGTCTTCCACTCAGGGCTCCTGCGACGGCCACTTGAGAGCCAGCTCACCCTGGAAGTGTCCCCTGAATGTTGTTTCTCCGTCTCGTTTTGTCTGCAGCTGAGGTTGGACAAAATGTGAAGGGAGGGAAACCAAAAGCAGTGGGAATGGGGACTCAGAAATGTCTCCCCTCCTAGAATTCTGACTCGTGCCTTCTCTGCCAGCTGACCCCGTGAATGATCATGGTGATGCTCAGGGAGGTGGCAAGGATCAGAGGGGACGCGAAAAAGTGTGTAAAGGAGGAACAAGTAACCAGTGACCAGGACAAACGCACCCACTGCCGCAGACATCTGGGGTCTGTGGGTGCCGACCATACAGGCCAGCCAATGACACATGTTGCTAGAACACCCCTGACCCAGGCTGAGGGACAGAGATCATTTTCACCCTGCTCACGTGTCCTTCATCACAGAAGTGCCACCCACACAAATGGGGAGTGCTTTCCTGAGTATTAATAAGTTGCAAAAACTCTTCGTGTGGGCTTAAGGCAATTCGCTGTCACGATTAAGATGCCAGGTCACCAGTCAGTCTGCACCCCTCACCTTCACCACCGAAGCTATCTCCTTCCACTGCTCCGGGCGAGGGTCCACTCCCGTGGGATTGTGGGCGCAGGCATGGAGAAGAATAACACTCTGCTGTGGTATTTTCTAAAAAGACAAACAACCAACAGATTGCTTTATAAGGAGAAAACTGACCTGAAAGGCCACAGGGTCACTATTACTTGACAAGTAGGGAAAACCAGCTGCGGTCTGCGAGTTAGCTCATCCCCAGTGTTTTGTGTCAGGGACTGAGATGCGGCTGGGGGATGTCCATTCTCCACAAGGGGGCGTGTCCCTGGTCCCCTCCTCCCTCCTGCCCAGAAGCCCACTTACTGAAATGTCCTCCATGGCGCCTTTGAAGTCAAAGCCGCACGTCTTGGGGTCATAGTACCGGTAGCTCTGTAACTGCATGCCTGCGTCCCTGAAGATGGGCGTGTGATTCCCCCAGGTCGGTTTCGGCAGAAAGACATCTCGGCTGAACTTGAAAAATCTTTGCTAAGATATGGGATGAAAGGGAAAGAAAGACATGATGAAAGAAGGGGCCAAAGTTGACATATTTTACTGAAAAGACATTTTTCTGTCCTGAAACTCAGCTTCTGTCTCTGACTGAGAGAGAACTAAGCAGCGAGGTGACTGGGGCCAGGACCCCAGCTCTGACCGTCACACAGCTGTGTGGCCGAGGACCGAGCTGCGCCTTGCTTTCTTCATCTATAAATGGTGGTAACGGAACCGCTTTCATAAAGATAAAACGTGTTACAATGCAAAAGTTCCCAGTAACGGTGTGTGCTCAATAAACTGTACTTATTATATAACATTACCTTCATTAATTACAATGACCTCTCCTTTGTGAGTTCTTCTAGTTTTTACCAAGTGCTTTCATTTTTAGCCCCCCCGAGTCCATGTATCAGGGAATGGGACGCCTCCCCACTTTGTGGAAGGAGGAAAACTACTTCTGGCTCAGCACGCACACGCACCAGGCAACCATCCTCGACTCACGGACTGTGTTACAGCTCTCCGCTGGAGGAACTTCAGACTCACCAGAAAACTGGCTCCGATCCTTAAGGCCCCGGTTCCAGAAATGGTCTGCACGGTGACATACTGCAGGAGAGACACCCTCGGTCAGTGGGGCGCAGCACCCTCTTAGCAGAGCAGGTAAGAGAGAGGCTGGCGACCACGCTCCAAATGGGTATTCAGAAACGAGAGAACAGCACTCTTTCATTTCCCCATCTGCTCCGTGACGGGCTGACTCGACCGTCCTCACTGGCTGCCAAAAGAGGCGTCTCTTCAGTTTCCGACGCCTCTGCTGCTGCAGAAGGGAATTCCTTACGGCTAATTCCCCCCACCTCCCCAGTGAAAAAGGAGTGGTTTGTGCAGGGGAAAAAGAACAGCCAGTACATCCCGTACTGTTGTGGAATTATGCAAAATCGAACGACTCTCTGAACATCCAAGCTCCTTGAAAAGCAAGCCAGTTAAGTCCATCAGAAAAACGTTACTACATATCAAAGGCTGTCTAAGAGAAGAGGCTCCTTTTACGAGTTCTCACCTGAAACATTCATCTTCTGGGTACAGGGAGTTTGTTTGTTTGTTTTTTAAAGGCACCATAAAAAAAAAACAAGCCTCTACAAAACATAAACCTATCTTCTGGACTGGGAGACACTGGGTTAAATGGTAGGAACCCAACTAACCAACTCTAATAAGCAAAGTCTGTCTGTGCTAATGCTGGCATGACAGAAATAAACACCTGGTCGTAGATCTGATAATAGTAGTGATTCCCAAAGGCAATTTATAAAAGACAAGCTGTGTTAGTTTAAGACAGGCCAGCCTCACATTTAGGTGACCAATGACTAGATGTGCACAGACTAAGCAAAAATTACAGAAAAGCGCAGTGTTCCTGAGGGGTGAACAGGTGGCTGACCGTGCAGAGATTAAGCAAACCACACTCTGTCCACGATTTAGGACCATTACTAGGACCATTACGGCATCACCATGGGGTCAAGGCTGTACGCTTTTCCGAGTCAATGAACTAAACCCTGGACTTAGGTCAGCCTGGTAAATAAAATGTATTTATTCTGGTCTTGGGGAGGTGGGGAGGGGAGAAACGTTGGCTTAGTTTTGCTACTTTGTGAGTCCCCCCCCCTTACACAGAAGAAAAAAATCAACAAACCTACAAATGTGTTCATTAACATTTGTTTCAAAAGAAAGTAAACTATAACACACATCAGGAGCCCTGTGTCCGCCAGCTATTTGGTGGCCTGGCTGCATCACCTGCGTGGTGCTAGCCTTCTACCACAGGGCGGGTCTGCATATACCCTGCAAGGCGCACACAGGAAGGAATCTGTGTGCAAAACGCTTATGTCCGGTGAGCTTTAGGGCCGTCCCTCTCCCACAAGAAGAAGGCCCCCCTCCCTGGGAGTTGGAAGGAGGAGACAACTAAGGGATGCTCATGGCTGCAGAGATGCTCTCCGGACCTCTGACAGAGGAGGGAGGCAGCCGGGAGGGAGCATGGCTGTTCTCTCCCCAGGTGCAGACTGGCTGGGAAGGAGCAGCAGAAAGGAGCCCGGCTGTTCCCAGACGCAAACACCTCCCTGGGGCTCATTTCCTGCCAGCTTCCTCCATCTAAGCTGGAAGCCTAGGACATGAGGGCGGGCCTAAAATTACGCATAGTCTGGAGTTTCTACAGCTTATTTAAGGTAAAGGGGACATCGGCACATAAAGACTAACAGAAAAGCAGTATCGAATCTATCAGATTACTACCATATGTCTGGACTTAGGGTTGTAGGAAATCTTTTATGTAATTAGTACCAATTTACTATCTAAAGAAGAGATATTAGCAGATGTGTGGCCACTTCAAAACAATCACCGCACACAAAGTGCTGTGTATCTTTTTTTTGTTTTAAATTGTTTAAGTTATCTCTTATTCATTTAAATGATTGAGTTTAACAACAGACCCTGTCGGATACCAGAGTCTGCTCGGCTTACCCGGCCACTTTTCACCACTTCGCTGTTCTCGCCCAGAGCTAATTCCGCGGATGCCTTGCAAAACTCGGCCAGTCCCCCGATGGGCAGGTATTCTTTGTCCAGATTTTTTGCAGCAATCTGGGCCTCTGCCTAGACAAGAGGAAACACGAATACAGTGTCTCTTGTTTACTACTGAATGTAAAACGGCATTCTGGGAATGCACAAGAACAAGAAGGTTCAAGAACAACACTTAGATACAAGATAATAAATGCCAATCTAAATACACAAGAGGGAAAAGCATTTCAAGGCATCTGCCAGTCTCAGAACGTCAAAGTATTAAATTAACTGTAACAGATGTGTGTCTTCCTTTGCTTGAAGTCACAGGCTTGGCTGTCCCTTAACTGGCAGTGTGTTGATCCTGAGTCTCAGTTTCCTCATCTGTCGAGCAGGGGAGCAACTGCTTCTTTACCTCGAGTGACCGAGCTGAAGAGCTGGTGGGCGAATGTACAGGAGTGTGGGCGGTGCTCCCACTTACAATGGCAGCTCACTCTTGCCGAACACTTCAAACTGGTTTCTTGAGACCAGAAGCAAACCCTGTTTCTCGAGTCCTTTTTGCTACTCAGAGGCTTGTAGAGATGACACCTCATGGGCCCTCCTACACTCTGCAATCTCCCCTTTTCCTGGTCCATTCAGCCCATGCTCTGTTACTGCAGTGGCTTAGCGGCGCCCAGCTCTGCAGCGGGGAGGAACGGCAGACACACACGGCACGGCCCCACCTGGGAAGTGGCCAAGCAGCGCATTGGCGGTTCATCACGTTTCACTGTGCCCCTCGTGTGAACCTGGTCCAGATGCACGGGAAGACATACTTTCTTTGAAAAAAATTGTTCTTAGGGGATTAGTTAAATTATAGTTATGACAACCAATAGAAAGACTACTGAAAAATATGCAACAAAAATAAAGAACATGATTCTATTGTGTGATAGGAAGAAAGGACAGAGTATGTCCATGTAGAAAGGTGGGCTTTCTTAAGGCAATCAAAATGAGAGAAATGGAAAATAACAAGAGTCACCCTCACCCATGAAGGCCTATTCCTGCCACCAAGGGACAGTGTTGAAATTCTTGGTCCTTTCGCGCATCCTCAGAATTAAACGTGACATTATGCCTCTTTTACAGGCCATCACAGAAGTTCAATCTTGGACAAGACCACGTAGTTCCAACCACACTCACTTTTATAGCCAAGGAGACCAGCCCAGAGCCTGACCCGAGGTCTCCTGGTTCCCGGCCCAGCAGCCTTTCTGCTGCTCTCTGGGACCCCTCCAGTTCACCTCTCCCCACCGGGCAGGAGGAGGATGGCAAGCTCACCTTCCGGATGCTAGGGAGCACGTAAGGCTTTCCACTGTCGTCCCGGTAGGCGCCAACGCCCAGGTTCATCTTTTTGCTGTTGGTGTCTCTTTTGTAGGCTTCTGTGACCCCCAGGATGGGATCTGGGGGGCCCATCTCCACATGGGCCCACCAGGAGCTGAAACAGGAAATACAAGAAGACATCAGTTGCAGGAGCAGAATTTCCACGGCTAGAAACGTCTCCGATCTGCCACAAATCCATCACAACAAACCGTTGCATGTTTACTATGACATGACAAAGCAACAGGCTCCATAACTCAAATGTGTAAGATTTCAAAGCACCTCCCAGAAGGGTGGAGAGGAACGACAATTTCTGTACAAATCCTCTGAGAAGCAGAAGGGGGCACCTGCTGGAACACCCTTGGGGAGGGCGGGATGCACACGTAGGCTTTCGAAGCAGTCCAAAGCGGACCCGAGTTCCCAGGCAAAGAGTATGTCAAGTAACCGGGCAGTGAGAAGCTGAGAGTGGTACCAGATGACACTAGAGATGTCAGCGAGGGCCGTGTAAGAGGATAATGCCACACTTCCCGCCCCACCCCCCATCCCTGCCAAAGGGCTTGGGTTTTTATCCTGGCCCCAAACCTGCTAAGGACATCATTTGGAGAGCTTGTTAAAAATAGTTCCCTTGGTCCCATCTTCGATGTACTGAAAATATGTAGAATCGTTACTTTTTGGGGGGTGGGGGGTGGGTGCTGGTGATCAGATAGGGGGAATGACATGAATACACTTGTATTTTTAGAGCCGGTCTGTAAGATGGGGGCGGTTTTAAGAATAAAAGGGGTTATTAACTATGAAACAGAACAGAGCCTGTCACAGAGAGAGTATTCGGTGTTAGCTGGTATTTCTGCAAATGATCACGCTACAACTCTAATGCAAAACCACTGTGCTGCTAGTCTGAAGCCTGCTGAGGCCGTGCCCAGAGAATTCAAGGAGCACACAGCCATAAGGCTTTATGATCAAACACAGGTCTTTCCTGCTTTTCAATTATTACTGCTTAGTTTCTTCTAGAGTCTCGGGAGATAGGATCACTCTTCCTGCTCCATAGTTCTACTGCCAGAACTCGTAATCCCTATTTTTTTTTCATTGTTTTGGGCTTCCTGGTTGTTCTAGTATCTCAGCGACAGTGAGAAACAGATACCTGGAAGCAACTTGGTAACTGGGCCTGAAGAAAGATTTCGTTATTTCCTACCCACAGTCCGGACCCTGAAAACACGTAGCCGCCTGCCTACTTCCATCACTGTCTTTAGCTGATGAGTAAAAGGAACACTTCGAATGTCAAGGACATGGGACAGAAAGCTTCTAGTAAGCAATTTTCATTTTTAAAAAGAGGGCTTTGTCTCTGAGGTCGTCAATCGATGAGGACAGAGCCACTGCCCCTAACCACGTGACAGAAGGCATCCTTGTTAAATGGTGGGAAAAACACTTGTCATGTTCTTTTAAAAGTTTATCTGGCAGAGAAACTCTCTCAGAAACAGCCTTGAGTCTTCTGGCAGAGATACAATGGAGAGTAGTATTTTTTCTTTTTTCCCACATTTTGTTGTTATTGTTGTTCAGTTACAGTTGTCTCCGCCCCCCCACTCCCTACCACCCCAGCCACCCCTGAGAGTACTGTCTTTCAAGAAGAATTCTGAAAACTACTTGAACAATAAAAAATGTTAAAATTTAAAAAGAAGAATTCTAAAAGCATTGTGAAAATACGGAATCTCAAAAATTTAAATGTAGGAGCAGGGATATGCAGTTTGATTGGTCCTATGTCAGTAATCTCGTTCGGGTTAGGGCATGCCCTTAATTATTCCATTCCTTAAAAGGGCGAAGACAGTGTTACAATGTAAGAACACGGATGTTTTTAAAGACATAGTACTAGAGCCCTGGCTGGTGGCTCAGTGGATTGAGCACCAGCCTGTGAACCAAAGGGTTACTGGTTCAATTCCCAGTTAGGGGCACATGCCTGGGTTGTGGGCCAGGTTCCCAGGAAGGGGCACGTGAGAGGCAACTCCACATTGATTTTTTCTCCCTCTCTCTAAAAATAGATAAATAAAATCTTAAAAAAGAAGAAGAAAAAAAAAAAGAACGACAATCACGTGAGCTTAAGAGATTTCCATTCAAATGACCCAAGTATAAACCCTCAGTTTGTCAGAATACCAACTGCCAGGGTTTTACTCTATTAGAATAAATTAAAAAAAAAAAAAAGAAACTTTAATTAGTTATTTTAAATGTTTCCACTTTTCACACCTGGCTTTTTTAGGTAACATCACTTCTACATGGTGGGAGTGAAGGTTCTTACCGCCTTGTTTTCTGCACAGCTAATAACTATAGACAGAGGTAGCACCTGGATCCATCACCTTATCATGTATTATTTCAACCCGAATAGCACCTCAACTGCAGGTGCTCAAATATTTTAAGACTATTTTTTTTTACAGGTAAGAGTTCCTTCATCTATTTTTAAAATTATTGATTGTAGAGAGAGGAAGGAAAAGAGAGAGAGAGAAAGGAACATCAGTTTGTTGTTCCACTTACTTGTGCATTCATTGGTTGACTCTTGTAGTGCCCTGACTGGGGATGGAACCCACAACCTTGGCTTATTGTGACCACACTGTAACCGATGGAGTTACTCAGCCAAGCCTAAGACTACTTTTTGCACACACATTGCAACTGCAGTTTCCTTATGTGTTTAGATTATGATGTAAGATACAATGTTAAAATGGCACTGTTCTAACTGCTGAGATATAACAATGAATGAAGTAGGTGGGTCTCTGCTTTCATGGAATTTACATTCTAACAGGGAAAAGACGGAAAGGAAAAATAAGTCAGGCTCCCAAACTGAAAGCATGACTAAAAGGTCACTGCCATGGATATTTTCACCAAGTAAGTGGAGCTGTAGACCATCCAGCCAAATCTGTAAGAGATCACTTTACTGTTGTTACTACAACTGTGAAACTCACTTTCTCGTGCCCGTGATTTTAAGCACCCCTTTCTGTTCTCCGAGTTCACTGAATAAATGGTAATAACCCCTCCCCAACTCTGGCCCAGTAGGTAGGCTGACTTAAAGAGCACACCATGACAGTGAGCCAAGAAGAAACCACATCAAAGAGCTAAGAAAGTGTGATGGTCTGGGAAAAACTACTGCCAAGGATGTGGGGCTGTTATAAAGGACAAACTGTTCTGCAGGCTTCAAGCCATCATGCAAACATTCAAACGAAAAGCCAAGACAAGGAAAATAAGTAAAGGCTTTGCTCCTTTTAGTTAATATCTGATTGTGGAGGTTTGGAGACTCGGTTCCTGATTAGGTAGCATTTAAGGACACAGTCCCCAATCCACTTTTCAAAAAATTTTATTTATTTATTTATTTTTAGAGAGAGGGGGAGGGAGAGAGAAAGAGAGGGAGAGAAACATCAACGTGTGGTTGCCTCTCACATGCCCCCAACTGGGGACCTGGCCTGCAACCCAGGCAGGTGCTCTGACTGGGAATTAACCAGCGACTTTTTGGTTCTCAGGCCTGCACTCAATCCACTGAGCCACACCAGCCAGGGCCCCAGCCTGCTTCTTGACTGAATTAAATTGCCTGGCTCAGGTCTCCACTACAAAGCAATTAAGGCACCATACTTTTTCCTTTGCCAGCGCTTACACACTGTTTAAAAAAAGTATTAGTAACGGTCTGAGTGACTCCTTTCTCAGGCTTGTTCAAGGCCGTGTCTATCACCAGCATCTGGTCCAGTGTCTGGCTCTGTGAAACTCGGGTGATGAAATATTCACTAAATGAAGAGTAGAGAGAGATGGAGAGGAAGAACGGCCACTTTCCTACAGGCAGATCTCCTAAAGGCTTAAAAATCAGGTGCGCTACACTTTGACTCTTCTGCACCCAAAGGTCAAACGGCAGAGTTGGGAGGGGGGAAGTCCGGGTGACTTAGGCGGTAACACGGACCGGAGGATGCCTTGCGCCAAGGTCACCGGATGCAGGGAGGATGGCCGGGGCAGAATGCCAGAGTCCCGGGTACCTTCCTTCCGTGCGCTTCTCTCTACCGGGCACACTAATGGCCGTCAGCCGTAGGCCAGCCAAGCCCGCTCGGGTCCCAGGGGAGGCCACGACAGGTGAGCCCCGCAGCCGACCCCCCCTTCCCCCGCCCCCGTAGCCTGTCAAGGGCACACGCGTGCCCACCCCTACGCCGGGTCCCAGGTGCCGCGGCCAACCAGAGCGAGTCGGTCCCGGCCCTGCAGCCAATGGGAGCAAGGTCTGGCTGGCGCCGCAGCCGCGGGCTCTCCGCGTGTCCCCAATCCCCCACCCCCGCGCGGAATCTGTGCCCCGTGACCCCCACCTTGAGTGGGAGTCGGGTGCCGTAGAGGGCCATACTTCCTAACCTGGGGGGAACGCGTTGGCACGCTCTCCCGCGGTCTGGGGGGCAGGGGAGGAGAGGGATGTATGACCCCGAGGGTCATTGTGTGGCGCGGCCGCTCAATCCGATAAAGTGTGTGCGGGTGTGCGAGCGTGGGTGTGTGTGTTGGCGGATTCGGTAGCTCCGGGGGCAGGCCCGTCTTCCCGGCTCCGTCTTCCCTGCTTACCTGGCTCTGGCAGAAGCCACGGCCGCGACGCCTGGGTGGAAGGCAGCGGCGATCCCGGACAGGACGCGGCTAGAGTGCAGCAGGGCCATGGTGGGCGGCAAGCGGGCAGTGGGCGGCTGCGAGACAGAGCGGAGGGCGGGCGGGCGCAGACTCCTCGGCGCGCGCTCCTGCTGAAGGTAAGGGCAGTGACTTCCCCGGGTGAGGCTAGAGCAGCCGGGCCCGCGCCGCGTCACAGCGGACCCTGGCGGCGGGAGCGAGCGGGTCCGCCAGCCCGCGAGGCGGCCCCGCCGGGTCCAAGTGGTCTCGGAAAAGGGGGATGACACTGCTTAATCACCACCCGCCGCACGGAAGTGGTAAGGGCTAGTATGTCATTTTGAAAGATCGGGAAATGTAGGCTGGTGCAGGTGAAGTAATTTGCCTAACTTCCTGGAGCCAGTAACAAGGTGTCCCACCCTAGATCTTCAGCCGGATGTTCTCCCAAGTGCACATCTCCTCACTTTACTGAATGCTCCCTTTTCTCTCTTGCCGAGGATAACGTTCCTGCCTCGTGGGGGCACTTGGGAGGATTAAGAAAGATTAGCTGATCACCTCTACAAATGGCCTGGTTTAGAAAGCACAAAATAACTCGTGGCTACTAATGACAAATCTGCGTTTGTCAGATCATTGCGGTTGTGCGTGGAAGGGAATTAATCACTTTTAAAGGACAAAACGAATGAATTTGAGATTCTACGAGCTGAATAATTCAAACCAATCCACCCTAAGCAACGGCTATTTCTCGGACACTAAGACCCAAATAGAGCCGTGTTCCGTGTTGATCGACTATATGCTCTGTGGCATCGCACTGCCCGCGCCCTTCTACTTTACCATCTCAGATCACCTGCTCTCGCTGTGACAGTGAATGTTATGGATGGAATGTTATGGATCCTATGCCCCCCACGGGCCACGACTTTCCGTTTCACGTTCCCTGCAGCTGCCATACACAGTTCCTATACACTACTGCGAACTAGATGGTTTAAAATAACAAAATTTTCTTCTATCACAGTTCTAGAGTCTAGAAGTCCAAAGTCAAGGTGTCTGTGGGGTTTGTTCCTTCCGGAGTCTCTCAGACAAACTCTGCTCCAGGCCTGCCTCTGGCGTCTGGCAATTGCCAGCAATCCTTCTCAGTTCTTTCGCGTGTTGACACATCACTCCCATCTCTGACTCCATCTTGTATGCCATTCTCTCCCTGTGTGTCTCTTTTTCTTCAAAAAGATTTTATTTACTTTTGGAGAGAGGAGAAAGCAAGGAGAAAGAGAGGGAGAAAAATATCAGTGGGTGGTTGCCTCTCCCCTGCCCCCTCCTGGGGACCTGGCCCGAAACCCAGGCATGTGTCTTGATTGGGAATCTAACTGGTAATCCTTTGGTTTGCAGCCGGTGCTCAACCCACTGAGTTACACCAGCCAGGGCTCTTTTTCTTCTTTATAAGAACACCAGTCACATTGGATTAGGGCCCACATTAATGGCTTCACCTAAACTTGATTATATCTGCAAAGACCCTCCTTGCAAATAAGTCACATTCATAGGTACCTGGGGTTAGAACTTCAACATACCTTTTTGGGGAAATGTATTTCCATCCATAACATTCACTGTCTTTAAGATGTAGCAATTATACTTCCAGGAATAGACCCTAGAGACTTCACACATGTATAAGGATGTCAGTGAAACATTGTTTATAAAAGCAAAACATAGGGATAGCCTAACTGCCCATCAGGGAAGCAGATAGATGGGCTGTTACGTCACATGTTGGAGGATTACAGAGCTATGGCACGGAGGAACTCAGTTCATAGGTGTCAACGTGGGCAGACCCCAAAAACATGAAAAAAAAAAAAAGCAAGTTGCAGAAGAAGTACAGGTATAATATGGCATGATTTAGATAAAAATTTAAAATACATGAACTATACCATACATTCACTCATAAAGGGTGTCAGCGTTTGAAAATATGTACCAGGGATACAGTTCATTCAGTATGGGATCTGCAGGGCACAGGAGGGTGTTCGCCCTGGTGGAGGGGACCCCACAATTGTTCAAATTTGCTTCATAAAAAAGTTCAGATAATAGTAACACTTTTTGTCACCATTCTGGGTGTGGGCATCTGTCATATTGATCTCTGTAATGTATATATTTAACTTTTCCCATGAGAAAGCTAATTTGAGTAGCTGGTCTGAAAGATGGAAAGGACAAGCCTGAGAGGTGGGGAGATGATAGAAAGAAGTCTGACTCGGTAATGCAGGAGGAAATTCTGAAGGTTGGAGGTCAGGTAGAAGTAGCAGTGATGGAGAAAAGGTCACAGGTCTGGAGCTTTGACATTGACATATCAAGGAGGTAGAGTCCACAGGGTCTGGTGATTAGGTGCAGGGAGAAGTAGAAAAGGAGCCAGAAATAATTCTCAGGGTCCCAGTTAAAATTGGGGTTGCCTGCAAGGAACAGAGACCCAAAATAATTGTCTTAACCAAAACAGGATTGATTTCTCTCATATAAAATCTGGAGATAGGCAATCCAGGGCTGGCATGGCATTTCCAGCCCACAGATGCTCAGGGACCCACGTCCTTCTAGCCTGTGACTCTGCCCTCTCTAAGGTGTGGTCCGTACCCCTTGGTCCAAGATGGTAGCTGCAACTTCAGCCACCACGTCTTCCTTCTAGCAAGAGTCTAAAGGAAGGGGCGAGAAATGAAGTACAGAGGATACACACCAGCTATCTTTTAAGGAACCTGTAATGGGAGGAGGCAGAATGCGGCAAAGATCAGATGGAGGAGAGCAAGCCAGGGGACGGCACAGGAGGGAAGACTCGGTGCTCTGGTTGGGAAATCAGGGAGGCCTTCATGGGGGAGATGACATTTGATCTGAACTTTGCATGACATATAGTATTTCACAGGTGGAGGAGGAAGGTAGGAAAAGGCGTGGCCTTTGCCCTTCCAGGCAAAGCTCTCCCTTGTCCCTGCTAACCCCCTGCATTTTGTCTCTGGAGTACATGCATGCGCACTTGGAGTGATTGTGCTTGAGCATGACCTTGCTGAGTGTTGCATTTGTGTGCATACATGGAAGTCAGCGAGTGGTGTGTGTCTTTGTGCAGATGTCCATGTACGTGCCTGTTTGCACATGGATCCTAGTGTGTGGGAGTGCTGGGGAGTGGATGTAGGCCAGCCTCCAAACCCATCTGATGAGAAGCCCTGCGAGCTCCTGTTTCTGAAGAGGACAGAGGAGTCTCGCTGAGCCAGGGTGGGGGTGCTGGGCTGCTGCAGTGGCCTGGGTGGGGAGGAGATGGGGCTGGCTGAGAGGGCCACTCTCATGTAAAGACGTAGTCCCTTCCCTGGACTGACCGGGGCCTTTTGCAGCCCCACCGCCCTTGCTCTCCACACCCAGCCTGCCCCAGGGAAATGCACAGCCTTAGAAGTAGAGCTTGGGGGAGCCTGGAGGCAGATCCTGCCCCACCACAGTCAGCCTCTCCCTAGGAGGCAAGAGGGGACACTATCTGGTGACTCTACCCCTCCTCAGAGTGGGAGGGTATCTCCCAAGCCCCCACAGAACATACAGATTCTGACTGGCAGACTCTCTGGAAACGCCCCCCCTCCCCCCAGCTCATAGAGTGTCTCCAGGTACTTGTTTGTGTATGTGAAACTACTCTGGAAAACAATACCCGCCTACCTCCACCCGGTAAGTATAAGGATTTTAATAAAAGATTAAAAATACTTTGTTAATGGTGTCCATCTGTGGCTCTCTGCTTACAGCCCCTGGGTGTCTTGAGTCCTGTCTTCTGACTCGTGTTTGGACTTTTCACCAGAAGGACTGCAGTTTCTGTCAGCCGGGACTGTGACTGCAGAGCCCCACATTCTGGACTGGCCCTGGGCTTGTGCTGTCCGCCTGCAGGGAGGGGCTCAGAGCAGCACACCTGGCTGTGAGGCAGAGGCAGTGAGCACCTGTGTGCCCTGGCCCGTTCCAGGGGCTGTGGGGCGGGCAGAGGCCAGGCACAGCCCTGCAAATGCTCGGAGTGTGGGGGTTCCAGGAGCCCCAGAGCGGAGAGGGGTTGCTTCTGGCTGGGAGCCGGGAGAGGTGATATGGAGCAGGTCGCATTGTGAGTGGGACCTCGAAGGGAGAGGAGGTGTTTCAACATTGCCGTCTGCACCTCCCATCTCTCAGCGTCCGGGAGACCAAGCCCTGCCTGGCACAGGCGTCTCCCTCATTCACGCATGTGTGAACTCAGGCCCCCAGACGGGAAGGTGACACAGAGCACCTCTGATTGGGCCTCGCCTTTCAATTAGTTGGACTGTTGTTTTTTCCAATCGGTTCCACCCCTTCTGGCCACCCATGCTGGAACCACCCTGCCCTGCCCGTGGGGGTGAGGACCAGGATTCAGAGCCGGCCGGGGCTGAGATGTGAGGGCCTGGACATGTTCATGCACCAATCCCAAGTAGGTCCTCCTCCCAACCACCTCAAGACCTTACGTGTCCATTGTTGAGTCATTTCTGACTCTCTTCCCATTTCCTTAAACAGGAAATCCCAGAGTCATCCTTGATTAGCCCTCCCGCACCTCCCACAGGTCCCAGCTTGTGTCCAGCACACATGTCAAGCACTACTACCCAAGCACTTGTTCCTTCATTCATTCTAACAATGATACGGTGAAGTTGGTGGCCCAAGTTCAGAGCCAGGGAGGGGCAGAGCTAGCTCATTACCACAGGAAGTAGAAGCCACCTGCCTCTCTCCATCCACGTGGCCACACCAAAAGCCCCTCACTGGACTGTTTGACTCTAATCTTGCCCTTCCAGGACATTCCACATAGAACAGCCAGCGGGATTCTTCTAAAACACATGGCCAGTCATGTCTTCCTCTTGCTTAAAACCCTGCAGAGGCTCCCTGGTGCCTGCAGGATAGAGTGCAATCCCCTTTGCATGACGCGTGAGGCTGCCTTTCAGTGTCTGCCTCCTCCATGGCGCACACCCCTGGTGTCTCTTTATTGCCTTTGGGCCTCCTGCTCCCCCTGTGCCGTCTCCCACAACAGTTAGCCTTTAAGCATCTAGAGTAGCGTTAGCCACCCTCAGGGGCCATTGCGGAAAAGGGAAATTATAAAAGAACATGGTGCACCTGCTGCAAGCCTGGGAGCCTCCTGAAGGTGGGAGCAGTGATTTCAGGGCCACTAAGTGCAGTGAAAAACATAA